AGAGAGAAGATTCACAAACATAATTCTTTTTCACTGTTAAAGGGAACGAACAGGAACGTTTGATTCGCTCTTGGATATCGTCGCGCGGAAAAAGCGTTCATCTGGAAATCAGCGGAGTGGAGGTATTCCGATGGCCGAGTCGCATACGAGAGGGTCGTTGGTATCACATATGTCAAAGTTGGGAGAACCGGGTCGGTCGTTACGCTTTATGGCTCGACGGACGTTTGGAGTTGCAAGGTCGTTTCGAGGAGGTAACCATCATTTCATCGATCAGATTCTGAATCATCGCCCAAACATAGAATTCAAATTCGAAGGAATTTGGAACGCGATCTAAACTTATGAAAACATGCAGATCTTTGATACTAATCTTCTCTGAACAGTTTCTATTCGCAAAATGTATGCAAAATTAAGATTATACCGCGATAGAAACTACATTATTAATTCTCCAATTTTCTCAAAATCAATTTTCTCGGAAATGAAACTTTGTACGAAACAATTTTATTCTCTATTTTTCAATTATTTATTTTCTTGTACCCCAAGTTTTCAAAATTCACATTCTGTATATGTATATGTATTTAATATCGTATAAGATTATTATTAGAAAAATTACAACAAAAAAATATATTTTGCAGATGATTGATTACGTGATCCCGGGAAGCGGCGATATCGTCCTAGGTCAAGAGTACACGGATTTCAACAAAGGGCTCGAGGAGGGCATCGAAGGATCCGTTTTGGGCTTCAATCTCCTACTGGCCTCGGCGTTCAATTCTCTCGACGATGGCTATCAAAGACCCTCATTTCGACCGATCAATGGAGCCGACAATCCGGCCGAGCTGCCGCTCGCCGCGGGAATCCGCGCAAGACGCGATTCGGATCTCAGAGCGGCGCGTGCATTCGACAGACTCGTTTCGATAGGATTCGCGCTCAATCCTAATTGGTCCAACAGAATTTTTCGGGGCGATGGCGCGAAAGCGGAAATGAAGAGTTCTCCGGTGACTCATTTGTTACCGTTACACGAGATAAATATCGTGAATGACACGCGGAAGGAAGAGACACCGCCAGCGATTCGCAGACACACGATTGCTCTCGGCGTTGACGATTCGAGCGGAGAAATCAATCTGTTCGGAAAATCGTCCAAGGCTCCGCTGGGTCTGCAATTGGTGAAATTGTCCTACGTCCACTGCCAGCTTGGCAGAGGAAGTCCGTCCATAGGAGGTCCATTGATGTTGATTTCCTGGAGCAGAACGCCTGTGAGGGTATTCGGCGGTGCCATCATAAAGAATGTCGGCAACAAGTGCGGTAAATTCTAAAGATGTCGAGATGTTATTCTTCTTTTTAGAAGAGTTCTCTTTAATAGGATTTTTATTGAGATTTTCAGTTATGTTATTCAATGGGAATTTCACTCAAAAGTTTATTATTAGGTTAGTACCATTGTAGTGAGTCGAAAATAGTCACTAATAAACAATCAACTCCACTTCAGACGATCTATAATTCGAGACAAAATTCGAGAAACACATTCTATTCAAAGTTTCACTGTACCGTGTAATAAACCAAGTACACGTTTTTGTCACAACTAAAACAAAACAGTATTGTTTTACTTTTCAAAAAAATTGTCGTATACAGGGTGATTCAAAATAACCTAATGTTCTTGTAATGCCATATTCTTGAGCAAATTCTGAGATAATTTTCCTTTTACAAAATTTTGTTCGAAGCTTAGTTTTCGAGTTATAATTGAAAATAGATAGCAACTTACGAGTTCGGTACAACGGGCAGGCAGGGACGCGCAACATATAATGTGACTGTCAAGTGTTTACTATCGTCTCATGACGCATTGCCCGTCCCTGCCTGCCCGTTGTATCGGA